AAAGAAAATATGCTCAGATGAAACAGGCTATAGAAAACACACTAAGGATCTAAAACAAACCATGTTACAAAGAGGATATAAAGATACCAAAATCGACAGACAAATTGAAAAGGTTAACAACACTCAGCAGAAAAACATCCTAAAACAGAACAATACTAAACTTTCAAATAGAATTCCTCTTATTATTACCAATCAGTTTAAACTCAGAAACGTTTCACAAATTCTGAAAAAGCATTTTCATCTCCTACAACTGGACGATTGTCTTAAACAGATATTTCCTGAAGTTCCCGTTGTCTCCTTCCGAAAAAGCAGAACTCTAAAAGATATCCTCGTTCACTCAAAAGTGAATTACACCCCACTAAAAAATGTTTGTCGTCCATGTAATAAAGCCCGTTGTTAAACCTGCAAGTTCATGAAAAGCACAATCAAAGAAACTTTGAAATATCCAAAGAAATCACTTGTGAAACAAAAAACACTATTTACCTGTAAAAATGCAATTACCAATATGTGAGGCATACACAAACAATTCTTAGAGGACGTTTCAACAACTACAAATCTTTTATTAACACCGAAAAAGTTCTCCCTTTTGCTCAACACTTTAACCAACCTGGTCATTCCATTAACTATGTTACACGATTCAAAACTAAAGCAGATAGAGAAATAAAAGAAGCTTATTGGATTGCTAATCTAAACACTCTTCAACCTTTCGGAATTAATCTAGATCCTGGAATCAGTGATCTCCGTTCATTGGTTTCATCTGTCAGAAAAATAATCTTTATTCTTTGCATATATTTTTCCTATAATGTGAACGCTGAATTTCCTAAGACTTATTATTTATTTAGAATAATTTTTCATTCCTGTTATTTATAAATTGATTCACATAACGTATCTTTTTCAACCAGTCTCCATGTGTCACCTTTATTTTACTTAAACACTTAAGTATAGTTTTAAATGTACATATATTTATCCATTTCTGAAGTAAAATATACCTAACATCTTTTTCACATACACTCTCGCCATCCGCTACACTGTACCAGAAATGAGCTGATGTACAATAGTACATAGAGAAATAGACTAAACATTTCCCGGAAAACCAGATAATCTTCATGACATCACTAAACTCCCCTTATATATATATCACTCATTCGATTACACCACCATTCCCAGTTTACCCCTGAAGAAAAAAGATCCACCTTTCGAAAGCGGTTGGGTTATAGGGTTTTTATTCATTTATAAGAAGGGATATGTGTGTGTGTGTCTAGCATTAATGACCTTCAACAAACGTGGAAGAGTATATTAAGAAAATATCCACAACTATAATATTAATACTTTAAATGATAAATTGAGTGAGAAAACTAGAGTATAAACTGTACTTTATCATGTCAAATTTACTACATTAAAGTCACAAGTTTCATGTTTATGCTTTTGTATAATCTAAATAATCAAACACAATGAAGAGTTTGTTCTGCTTTACTTCGAAAACTTTCTAAGTATTTCATTGTAGCTGTTAATGTAAGAAACTTTTCTTCCGTATATCACTTAACATATTCACCATAGAAAACTTTAGCAGCCCACTTTGAATATCCAAAGTTTGGGATGATATAAGTGTATTTCACTGGTTTTCTAACCACTGTTTATTGAGATCAACCATGTGATACAGGATATTTTTGCTCAACTTTTCACTTGTGTACCTAAATAAATAAGTTAGAACTTTTCTCCAAATATATTTCATAGATCTGGTGTCACCAAAGACACTTAAGGCTGACTCCTCATGTTCACTTTTAGAGCTTACACCAGCATTAGCCACAACTTTTTCAGATGATATGGGGTGCTGGGTGTATTTGTTTGCACAGTTTCAGCAGCACCAACATCAATAAAGTTTCGGGGTGTTCTAGTACCCACAGCATCTACGTAGCTAGTGTCTATATCCATCACTGATACAGAGAATTTCTCACGTTTTAGGATGTCTCGTGTTACACTTCCTGGTCGGTTAACATACAGGTTTGTTTGTTTTTGAATTTCGCGCAAAGCTACACGAGGGCTATCTGCGCTAACCGTCCCTAATTTAGCAGTGTAAGACTAGAGGGAAGGCAGCTAGTCATCACCACCCATCGCCAACTCTTGGGCTACTCTTTTACCAACGAATAGTGGGATTCACCGTCACATTATAACATCCCCACGGCTGAAAGGGCGAGCATGTTTCGTGGGAGGGGGATTCGAACCCGCGACCCTCAGATTGTGGGTCGAGCGTCCTAACCACCTGGCCATGCCGGGCCTAACATATAGGCTATTTGTGCTGTGTTCGCGATCAAAACTACTAGTAGTAAGCCTAATTCGCTGCTCATAGAAACAAAATATGTTTACCAGTCTAACGACGCATAACTTTAGGCTTAAAATATTCAATCAAACTTGAAAGAGTTTTTATTGTAAGGAAGAATATTTTTTAAACAGGTACGACTTTCGGTTGTTGGTGGGCTTATTCTCAAGTACATAGGTTTAATACCTATAACCAATAAGTAAATTCAAAACGAAACTATTGAAAGAGCTTTGTCTCGCTTCGAATGAAGGTAAACTCAAACCCATAACAAAAGTGCAGTTGTAGACGATTTTCGGCTAGCAGACGACGCATGTTAATAAGCTGAGCACGCGTACACTTTACTTTGCAAAGAAATGTGGGAATTAAAGAAGTTTTGCTAAGGTTTCGACGTTCTTTCTAGAAAATAAATTTCAAGTAATCACTACCACCAAATTTTTTGTCGGATATTATGAATTTAACTATTGTAAGATACGTGAATTCAACATGGAGAAATTGAAAATAAAAATCTCCGTAATACTTCGGTAATCTCGAAGCCGCGCCGAACGGAAATCCAAGATGTCGCCAAATACTACTAGAGCCAAGTATATCTAATGATTTGAATGAACATTATTCGATATGAAGATAACTTTACTGAGCATTCAGTTCAAACTAAACTTTTATTAGTTTGTCTGGTAACAATCTAACTTTCTTTTTATTAGTAATATGAGAGCAGATTATTTTTTAATTTTATCATTTGTCATGACTGCAGCATCTTAACACAGGCATTAACTTAAGCTGAGAATAGCATAACGCCATAAGTTAAAGTAACACTATCTTTTAAGTTTAATGTTAGTAACTTCAGATTTTTGTTGTCTGCCCCCGCTATATATACTCAACTGGTCGATTTCAAATAAAATGGGTTTTTCAGTTATGTAAACTTAGTTATGTTTTCCCAATAGATATTCCATAATAAATTAACATGGGACACGTGTGCTATTTCCCTTGATATTTGAAGTTTGCTTTAGCTTTCCTTGTGAGTTTGATTGTTTTTGTCTTCACGTTTTTCATTTAAATTTTCTTTTGTTTGTTCTCCCATGTAAAATTGTAACACTTGTTCTATATAAAAAAAGTAAGTGGTATGATAAGCTTTTTTATCGACATTTAAACTAATGTATATGCAGTATGTCATGTAGGCAAATTTGATTTAAAAAACAAACAAACTAAGCTTTGTAGTGAATCACTTGTTGGGTCTCTTACAGTTCTGATTCCCACAGGAAGAAAAATAAAAGTAACAAACTAAAGACAACTACGTAGCACATTGTATACTTACAAAGATGCATTATTTTGATTTTGTTAATAACAAATTATATAAACGTTTAATAACAGAAATATGATGTATCTTTGTGTTCACAAATGTTCAGTTAAATTAATGAAAACCTGGAATTACTTATGTGGAAGAAAATTGTATGTTTCTTGTTTTAGTATGTATGTGTGTCCAGTAGTTTTAAACATATTGTGTTACAAAGAAACAATATTAACTAGTAAGAGTACTTATTACTGCACTAGTCAAAAGTTGAATAATGCATCTAGAAATCTAGATTATCTTATTGCAAATCTACATGAAAAGCATAAATACAAAGATAAAACTGGTACAAACTATAAAAAGAAAACTGAAAAGCTTTTGAAGTGTCACCCAAAAATGTTTCAACCTAAAGTAGATAAAGCTTGTGATGACAAGCTCGTAACTCTACTCATGATGAACGAACCAGAAAAAGCTGCTGGTGAATTAGAATACTATTCTATTGCTTCCCTATATCCATCCAAGAAAACACTTAAGCGTCTTGTAAAAGTCTTAACATCCAAAGGAAATGTGGAAGAAGTCCGAAAAATTCAAGTGATTTGTGAACAAGTTTATCCTAATGAATGTAAGTGGAATATAGGATTTCGACATTATGTGGCAGAGGCATTATGGAGAAATGAGCAGTACGAAGCATCTGTTCAGTTGTTTGAGAGTATTCTATTTGAATATCCCCACAAAAGAATAAAAGTTAGCAATATGATAACTTGTTTGACTGATCATTTAATAGAAAGAAATTTAGAAAAAGAACTTGACTTACTTGTTGAAATGGTAAAACACTGTGATATTAATCATGTTGTGGCAGATGTGTGGAAAAGGTTATTTCTCAGCGACTTGGTGAGGCATCAGCGAATGGGACAGAGTATTTTGGACGAATATCCAAACGTTAAGGTCTGTGTTTGTAGACACTTTCGAAAGTATAATATCTACAGCAAGAGAGTTACAGTGCATCAGTATTCTTCAGAGATTGGTAGAAGTGAGCTTACAACTGGAAACTCGATCGTATTATTCCGAAGTCTTTAGTTCTTTGTTGGAAATTCAGTGTAAGTTTTAATTTCTGTTTGCATTAGAATACACTTGTGTGTAAAGTAATACACGTGTATACATCAGAGTATGATAGTACTGGAGTTTAAATAAATAGACAATCCAGAATATATTAATTTAGGATGACTAATATATAAAATGTTTTTTAAAAGTAATTTTCGATTCGTAATAATGCATAAATGAGGAACAGAATATTTGTATTAGTCCTAATCTATATTATCAACTTAAGTTTTTGATTAACAATTAATTTGTATGAGTTTATAAATATTTTAATTAGTTTGTAAGCTAACTCCATGACAAGAGCTGCCTGCTCACATGTAGTAAAAGTCACACTTTTTTTCCCCCCCTTATAAGTTTCTTGGCTTTCAAAATATAGCAAGCCATAGAGCCTTTTTTGGTAAGAGTTCCTTATGGCACCCCCACTCAATTTAAAAAGAAATTCATCAAAGTAATATTTATGTATTAATAAATCATATTAATAGTATGATCTGATAATTTTAATACATTATTATACCACTTACTTCATT